CAGAGAAACCATCTCTCACGGATTATCTGATGAGGCTGAGAGCCAGACTTAAGAGCATTTCGCAAACACGCCCCAAGGCACCAAGGATGCTCCAGAAACAGGCTGCCACAGAGGGGGCAAACCTGCAGCCTCCAAGGCCCTGCAAAGCTCTTCCAAAGCTTCCCAACCCAGGTGAGGATTTCCCCTCTGAAGCTGGGGTTGGGAGTGAGGTTTATTAGGCTTTTTTAAAGGACATCTGCTCCAAAGAGCTTCACTGAGTGACACATACGATAAGAGAAAAACTTGCCATGTACCATTCCTCGCCCCCACTTCCCATCTGGCTCACCCGCAAATTAAGCCATTAACCCAGTATCTTGCCTAAAGATGAGTCTTAAACGTGGGATTTGCAGTAGGTGAGACAAGCCTTGCTCCCAGCCCCACTGCTGCAGCCTGTGTCACTAATACCAACAGCCTGACCACAACCAAGCCAGGCCAGCGGTGACCTACATAGAGTCAGCTGTATAGAAATGACAAGCCTAATTTTGCCTAGTCATACATCACACCAAGGTACAAGCAATAAAGGGGTAAGAAACCACCTAGACCTCACATTTCAGCTCCATCCATCACCCCTCCACAGATCTTATGTTCCCAACCTGCAGTAAATCACTGCACATCAAAGCAAGCCAGGTCATGGGTGACTGGGACCATCAGTTGCCTATTTCCCACCCAATAACTCAGGGATGCCACAGTTTGGATATTGCTTGGTACCAAAAAAGAGAATAAAAAAAGAGGGTGGAAAACTGCAAAATAAACCATAAAAACCTACACGAAAAGGAGCATCTCCCGTTTTCACCAGGTGCTACACAACAAACCCAACGACCATCCATTAACTCACACCCAACACTATGTTATTTAATGATGCATCTCTGCCATGGACTATTGCACTGGGAGGAGAAGAAAATTGGCTGTAACGTTTCCATTGCTGCTGGAACGCTGGCTCCAAGCTCCAATTCTCCTGAAGCACTGAAAAGTTCTAAGCAAATAAGGCTTGGAGCAAGCTGCTCCAGTGGAAGGGGTCCCTGCCCATGGCAGGGGTTGGAGCTGGAGGAGCTTTAAGGTCCCTTCCAACCCAAACTGTTCTGTGATTCTGCGACTCTCAGCAAAACCTTAACCTAAAACGTCTCAGTTTGGAGAAGGATTGCTTGGGACCCAAAAGGAAGCACAAGAAAACCAGAAAACACCATTAGCATCAGGGAGAGACACAACTGCTCCCTGACAGCGAGGATTGCATTATTATACAAGCCTTTGGAATGGTAAATGTAAAGAGCAGTGCTCCAAATGGAAAGGTTTGCCGCACAACTAAAGCAGGCAGCACAGAGAGAGATTTCAGCTGTGGCTTCTGGCGTTAGGCCATGAGGATTCTTTTAAGCATCATCTGAAACATGACAACTCGATGGAATCACTTCTGCGGATCCTGCTTTAGGTCATCTTTCCACACTGATGCAGCCCATGAGTAATTCGGATCCAAATACCTCTCGGCAGGTCTCTAAAGGAGACATCAGCCCGGCTGCGTACCAGAGGAGGGGATGAAGTCAGCACACGTCCCGTCTGGAGCGGTCATCCCACCACGTTTGGGCTTGGGAGTCCACTCCAAATACTGCAATCAAACCACCCAAGCTGTAGCTCCCACTCACCGGGGCAAGGCGGGTACGCCCCGGCTCATCCCAGAGCCCAAGCTCCCAGCGCTGCACTGCTGAAGGTGCTGGAAGGAATCACTTACAGCAGCAGCTGCGCTGCGCTTTGAGAAGCCAGAGGCACGTCCAAGCGCTCAGCTGAACCCTTCCCTCCCCAGCAGGGAGGTGTGAAGAGGCCGGGGCAGGGGACAGGGAAGACAACCACTGCTTTTCCAAAGCAGAGATCTGGCACTGAATACACCTCACCCTCTGGAGCCACACGGATGCTCCGTGCCGCCCTCCCGCATCCCCATGCGCGCTCCTGCGCTCTGAGACACTTCCCATGCAGCCAAGGAACCAGCACGACTCATGACTCCACTGCGCTCTGGGGTGGGCAGGATAACGGCCCCGACTATCCCAGTCTCCTCTGCCATTCTTCCCCTTTCAGGGCTGGAAAAGGGAAGTGCTGGGATCTGCACTTTAAATACGTGAGTCAATGCAGAAGCGAGGAGGAGCCCGTCTGTCAAAACAGAAGAGGGTTTTACTAATTCCCAAGCAAACGAGGTGACAACACACGTCGCCCTGGAGTACAACAGGCTGCAGCTCACAAGAAACGCCTGTGCTTCCAGAGGCAAAGCCAAGCTTCCACCCCTCCACTGACCCCCATCCTTCACCGCAGGCACCCAGCACCATCCCTTGCCAAGCCCATCACCCCGGCAGCACGACTCGTGCCTCCGGAGCCCCTTGTTCATTCATTCATTCAGGTTAGGAGCCCCAGATACCAACAGATGGGCAGCTCTAACAACAGCAGAGGTGGGGGTTATGGGTTTAGGTGGGCTGGTTGTTTCTCCTCGGTGGATCTCAGTAACACCGAGGGTTTGAACAGCTCATGTGTGGGCGCAAAGCGCATGGATGAGAGGGAACACGGCGCTCCCTCTGAGCAGCCTGCCGGCACCCGCGGCACCCGGCGTGCCCGGATCCATTCAAACTTCCCCAAGTCTCTCCAGCAGGGAGACACGCTCCCCCCTTTGCTCAATAAAGCTTATTGGGATAAACAAGGAGCCCATCGCATTACCTAGGGTGGGTTAAAATACACCTTTGCGGACACTATAAGAGAAGGGAGTTGGGGATGAAGGGTACAGGTAGGAACTCTGCGATGTTCCCTGTCTGACAGCAAGGATGACAACACCGGAGACAGGAGAGACCAGCGATGGGAGAGGGACACCCGGGTGTCACAGAACCCCATGTTCCGAGATGGGCTGACCCCAACCAGCCTGGGGGCTCCCCTCCGCTCCAGACCCTCCCACCCTCCCCTGGATGTCATTTCCCTTCACCTCGCATTAGAAAGCCGGAAAGCCACGTCCTAACAGGGGGAAGAAACATCAATTAAAGGCGGGCGGGCGGGCCCAGCAGCGGCTCCATTGTCCGGGCCGGCTCCGCCGCACGCCCCGCTCCCGAGGACGGCGCTGCCCGGTTCCCGGTTCCCGTCCCCCCGTCGGGACCCCCCGCTCCCCCCCGCCGCAAACACCCTCCATCAGTGTCAGGCCTCGCCGCCGCTGCCCGCCCCTCCGGCCCCTTCCGCAGCCCGGCGGGGCCGCCCGCTCGGTTCCCGGTTCCCCCCCTCCTTCGCCCTCCGTCGAGGGGGGGCTCCCCCTTCGCACCTTGAGAGCGAACTTCTCGCCGCTCTTCTTGCTGAAGATCTCCAAAACTTTCCCGTTGATGCCCAGCCCCAGCACTTGCGTGGTGACCTTGTAGTCGTCCGTGATGGCATTCTTCCGGATCAGCAGGCCGCCCTTCCCCGGGAACGGCGGCGGCCCGTGCTGGGGAGCGGCGGGCGGCGGCGGCGGAGGCGGCTGGGGCGGCGGCGGGCTGGGGAAGCCGGCGGGCGGCGGCGGTGCCCCGGAGAGCATGGCGGGAGCGCGGCGGGCCCGACGGGACGGGATGGGACGGGCGGGGGGGACTCGCGGCCGGCGGAGCCCCGGGGAGCGGGATGGGGCTGGGGACGGGGACGGACGGGGGGGGGTGAAGCAGCGCAGCCGCCGCCGCCGCCCCCCGCCGGTGCGCCCCGGCCCCGAGAAGAGCGATCGCTCCGGTGCGGCTCCTCCTCCTCCCCGTCCTCCTCCCGGCGCGGCCCGGCTCTGATGTCAGCGCCTCGGCCGCCGGGGGAGGGACGGGGCGGGGCGGGCACCGGGCCTGCGCCCGCCGGGGCTGGGAGGGGGGAAGGCGGAGGAGGGACGGAGCGGCCCCGCCGCTTGCCCGCGGAGGATGCGGGGCTCGGGAGGAGCCGCCGGAGCCGGGCTCTCGGCCGCCAGCAACGCGATGGGATGGGAACGGGGTCCCCCCTCCTCCCCGACCGGGGTCCCGCAGGTAAAAAGCATCTCCACGGGCTCGAGCCGGGGAGCGCGCATCCACCGCCAGCACCGCGGGGAACCGCTCCGGAAAGAACAAAGGCGCCCGGTAACGACTCAACTGCTCCCGTTTCCTCGTTCAGCCCAGATCCCAACAAAGATGCTGAGGAGGCCGAGAGGGACGGGATGGTGCCCAGGTGCCGCACAGCGTTAGGCTGCCTGGCATCCCAACCAGCGTGTCCTCAGCTGGAGCACAACGGGAAATCAAGACTTTTCGTGTATGGATGTAAAAAGCGTGGCCTGGTTGCCACTGATGCCCGTCCCTCCCTAACCCCCTGTCACACAAAAAGCCCCCCGTGACCCTGGGGAAGAGAGATGGAGAAACATGCCCAAAGCCAGGAGAAGGTGGCAGAGCCTTGAGCACTCTCCTGAGGCCCAGCCGCTGCTTTTTGGTAGCCAGGTACATGTCTGGGCACGCACAGGAGCCCCCCCTGCAGAGCCACACCACACCTGGGCTCCAGGCTTGCTGTGAACCAGAAGAGGCTCTGGAAGCCTCTTTGAGATGCCCTCATAGATGGTCTTGGTTGGAAATCAGTGCCTCCATCTACACCAGCATCAGCAGTTTCACCAGTGTCACAAGGACAGAGCAAGCCACGGAAGAGGAACTTCCCCCTTCTCTTCACAACTAAAGGAAAACCACAGCAAAACAAAATGACTGCAGCATTCAGGAGAGTGGGCACCAGGCCCGTGGTGCACAGGGCCCACAACGGGTCCCCAGCACACAACTGCCACCAGAAGAAAGCAGAATCATAGAATCCCAGCCTGGTTTGTGTTGAAGGGACTTTAAAGCTCCAACAGGGAAGAGCTTCTGCCTAAGAGCTCAGCTCAGTCTCCCCTCGGGCAGGTTCAAGCCATTCCCCTTGCCCTGTCCCTACATCCCTTGTCCCAAGCCCCTCTCCAGGTTCCCTGCAGCCCCTTTAGGCACTGGAGCTGCTCTAAGGTCTCCCCTTCAGGAGCCTTCTCCAGGCTGCCCCAGCCCAGCTCTCTCAGCCTGGCTCCAGAGCAGAGCTGCTTCAGCCCTCGCAGCATCTCCATGGCCTCCTCTGCACTCGCTCCAACAGCTCCAGGTCCCTCTGGTGCTGCTGCCCCAGAGCTGGGCCAGGGCTGCAGGGGGGGATCCCCAGAGAGCAGCAGAGGGGCAGGATCCCCTCCCTGAGCTGCTGCTCCCACTCTGGGGGTGCACCCAGCGCATGGGGGGGGGTGTCGGGTCTGGACTCAAGCACACACTGAATCCAGAGCCTGAAAGGAACAGGACAGGGAAGAGCAGCAACAGGGAAGAGCAAGCTGTATCCTCTGCCCAGCCCTGCACCCATGCAGAGCCACTTGCACCAGAGCAGGAAGCATCTGGTCCACATCTGCCATCCCAGCAGCTCCTGTGATCAATACGATCCTCTCAGATTTTCACTCAAGCCAATAAAAGCACAATAAAAGGCAGTTCCAACCCGTGACTGATGGAGAGCTGAGTGAAGCAGCGGATCCAGCTAATCAAAGTACATCATTAGCACTGAGAGACCGAGGGAGGTGGCAGCGATAGTCACCAGATGGAAGAGTGAGTAAACCCACACCAGGCACCGGCAGCTTTATAAATAAAGCTCTTGTCAAATCGGTGGTGCCTCTCACTGTGAATCCCGAATTTCCCTGTGGAGCCCACAGCACAGAGGAGGCCTTCGCCTGCTCCCAGCACGCTGCGGTGGGATGCTCGCAGCAAGAACATTTCCTACTGGGAATGTAGATTCATTCTGGGAGTTGCAACATCTCCTGGAATCTGACCTTGCATCCTTCACCCCAGTAACAAGAGGGTTTGGGGAGTCAAATCCAATACATCCTGTAACAATGGATCACAGATCAAAGATGGTTTAGAGCAGCTGGTGTACTCCATGGGGTTTTCCCAGCATCTGCCTCCCCTCACTCCGACTTGTCTTGGCACGTTTGACAAACTGAGCTTTTAAACCCAAGTTTGTCTTCACAAAGGAATCTGGGCAAAGGAAAAGGAATCCCAGCCTGGTTTGGGTTGAAGGGACCTCAAAGCTCCTCCAGCTCCAACCCCTGCCACGGGCAGCAATACCTTCCACTGGAGCAGCTTGCTCCAAGCCCCTTCCAGCCTTCCCTAACTGAGCCCCTTCACTGCTGTTCCAGCCCTCTTGCTCTGCAGCCCCACTTCCAAGGCAAACCCCATCCCGGCGGCAGCACGGGTGGAAGCCCCGCTCCCGAGGGCGACCTCCGCCTCCCCAGGGGTGGCCGCGGGTGCCCTCGGCCCTGCCGGGTGATGCGGTTGAGGGTGCCCAGGGCGTTCATCGCCTCTCGAGCTCGCCCGTTCCCGGTGCCACCGCGGCCGAGCCGCCGCGAGGTGGCGAACGGCCCCCGCGCAGCCCCGGCGGGTGCGGACGGAGCGGGACGGTCCCTGGTGCCCCGCAGCTCCCTGCGCCTGGGGGGAGGCCAGCGCTGGGGTTTGGGGCGCAGGAGCGGCCAAACGCTTGGAGACCGCCTGGGCTGGGAGGGAAGCACCGAGGCGAGCAGCATCCAGCCGCTGGCACAGCTTCCCCCAGCAGCCCCCTGCAGACAGGCTGGAGACAGGCTTGTCCTCACATCTGGGGTCCCATCTCCAGGTTCTCCATGGACAGACTAAAATCAGGCCCACAAGCACCAAGATTCCCTTTTCCCTGTTGATCTCTCACAGGGATGAAAGCGTGGAGCACAGCCAGATCCTGTCATCCACACATCACACAGCTGCACACAGCAGAGAAAGAAGCATCATACAGGGACCACCAGCAGGATGCTGGTAGAAAACTATCCCACTTAAAAGCGATAACACCTTTAAATAATCCTGCATGCTTTTAGGATAGGGGGTAATAGAATGGGAAAGATACTGTTAATTCCCATTATAGATATTAATCTAATTCACAAAGCAACAGGAGGATTGGAATAATGACGGGAAGTAGCGCTGGGAGTTGGTGCTGTGAGGTTTTTTCCATGCAAAAGCAGCATGTTGGGAGGGAGATGAGCTCCATGAGGACATGGTGCGATGGGGGGAGCTGCCACCCCAGCTCTCAGGGTGTCTCTGGCCTAAGCTGCGTTGCTCCAGGAGCTCCAGCTCTGCTCCCACCAGCTGCTCCTCAGCCCTTGGAAGTGACCCTCATGCCTGGTTTGTGGTTCTGTTTATGAAGCTCTGTGGGATCCTTTAGGGTGCTAGGAGCTTTTATAACCTGGGTTTATTACCCAAAAGGCAACCAGGAATTTTCTGCATTCGGTTGCTCATCGAGACAAGTCAGAGCACAGCACTCAGAGGGAGAGCCCCTCTCCTGACCGCACCAGAGCAGGGGGTGCCCTGGCTGGCGATACCAGGACCTTGCCAGGGATATTCCCCACTGGCAGCACCCTTCTGTGGCAGGAGGAGAAATGCCCCTTGGCACACGGTGGGGAGAGGCTTCCCCTCGGCAGATTAGCACCCAGCTGGCTCTGGCGTTGCTCGCATACTGGAGCAGGACGGCCCCATAAACCCTTCCCGCTGGACATAGCGTAGCTGACACACGGAGCCCGTGATTGCAGGAAACCCTGCTCAGGATTATATCCGCCTGCTTGACAGGTGCAAGGGTTTTCATCCCTTTTATTCCAGCCGGACCCTACACACATCTGAGACTGAGCTGAGCTCTTGGGCAGAAGCTCTTCCCTGTGAGGGTGCTGAGGCGCTGGCACAGGGTGCCCAGAGAAGCTGTGGCTGCCCCATCCCTGGCAGTGCTCAAGGCCAGGTTGGACACAGGGGCTTGGAGCAAGCTGCTCCAGTGGAAGGGGCTGGAGCTGGAGGAGCTTTGGGGTCTCTTCCAACACAAACCACTCTGTGACTCTGATTTTTCCACCTGGAAAGTGTATCCTGGTTCATCACCCACAAGATGATGCCAAATGTCCTTCCTTAACTCACAGTCACAAACCCCACTGCTCAAACACAGAAATACAGATCTTCTAAAAGGATTTGCTTTGGAAGGGATGGAGTCCAACTGACAAGCAAAAAACTACAGATCCCACACAAAACTGAGCCTGCAAACAAACATTAGTGCTGGCCTAAGGCACATCTGAAGCCCCATGGCCTCAGCACAAGGAGCGATCAGCATCTCATGTCCAGCCCTCACACCATGGCTCCAACCCAAGTGTCCCGGTTTGTAGGATGGAGCTGTCTGCTTCACCACCTCAGTGACAGATCCCATCTCGTGCCTCCCCATCACTCATCGCTATGTGTGATTTAATGGGCAGCTCTGGAGCTGACACAGGGAGCCCAGAGGCTTCTGAGTGCCAAATAACTGTGCTGAACTTGAACAGACTCTGCTCCCTGTCAGCAGGAGCTGGTGTGGGAGCAGGTCAGGAGGGAGCCTCAGGCTCCTGCATGGCCCAGAGACCTCGCAGGGCCTCAGCCAGCGATATCAGTGACCTGAAAAGATTTGGCAGAGGCCTGACACAAGGCAGTGAAGCTGAATAAGAGCCTGAGATGGGCAGAGAGCGTCCCCAGCCTGGGCCCATCAGCGCAGGTGAGCCACAGGACACACTGCAGGATTGCACAGGATCACCTTGGAGGGACGAGCACGGGGAAAACCACAGCACACAGTGGAAAGGGACAGGGGACAGAGGACCACGGGGGTTACAGGCACTGCGCTGGGTCAATGGGGCTTGCTTTTAAACGGGCATCCCCAGGCACCCTGCCCCTGGAGGCAGCTCACCCCACACTGCTGAGACCCCAAAGCAGGGCATAGGAGAGGGCTCTTCACACCCACCCAGGCTGAACCCAACCTGTCAGCGCCTCCATGAGCCCCAGAGGTGCCTCCTCTCTGTGCCCCCCCCAACCCTGCGGGCACCCCCGTATAACCCAAATCCCTGCCCGCAGAGGGGAGGCATTTGTGTGACAAGTTCATGGTGATTAGCTCCGTTAGCATAAGCAGCTCCTGGGCTGGCCCTAATCCAGAGGGACACAGGCGGCCCACACACTGCTTGCCATCATCCCTGGGCTGTCCTAAGGACCTCTGTGAGCTGGAGGAGACAATGCTCACCGGTGTCCCTGTGTCAGTGGGAGCATAGCATTGCATGCCAGCAGAGACCACCCAGTGCTCCCAGTTCAGCCCAACCCTTCCTAATGCAATTGCCACACTGGGATGGCTCTTTTGGCTCCCATGGCTGCCTTTCAGCTCAGGGGCTGCTCCAACATGAGCACAGGGTCCTCAAGGCACAGTTTGCCCTGTGTATTTTATAGTGCAGCTTTGTTTAGCACACCGAGGCAGTGCTATAACCCCAAATCACCTCACCTACATGGCAAGGAGTGCTCTCTGCAGGTTCCCATGCAAACCTGAGCAGTTACACATCCCACAGAACAGCCCTGTATAAAGCACTGCTTGACTTCCCCCTGCAGAAGGCTCCTTGGGGGGAACCCAACTTACCTGCATGCAGCACCCAAAGGGAAGCACCGAAGAGCTCACAGGGATCAAACAGAGAGCAAAAACTCACTCCTCCCCGTCCAAAGGAGCACAACCACTCCCTGCTAAGAGGAAAACCCAGCACTGCTGATAACAATTGACAGCATTGATTAATAACAATTAACAGCATTAATTGCCAATAGCCATCAGCTGGGCCTCACTGAACTCACCAAGCAGGGAGTGCTGCCTGCGCTGCCTGCAAGGAGAGGGCGCTGGGGCACCCCATGAGAAGGTAAAAGGTTTAGATCGGATATTGGGGAATAAATCCTTCATTCTGAGGGTGCTGAGGCGCTGGCACAGGGTGCCCAGAGGACCTGTGGCTGCCCCATCCCTGGCAGTGCTCAAGCTGCAGCCGGGGCATAGGCACCCCCATTTCCCCCTCTGGGGGGGGGTCTGGAAACAACACCAGAGCTTAGCAACACCTTGACCCTCCCACCCCACCAGAGCATCCCTCAGCCCCCATCGCCCTCCCGCATGGGTACCGGTGGTGCTGACAGGGCTTTATCTGGGTGGAAAAACACTTGGGGCACCGAGCAACAGCTAAAAGTGCCTGGGGTCAGGTCCCGAGCAGCTGCCGGGGCCGTGCTGGAAGGGCTTTGCTCTGAAGCCACCGCATCCGCCCCGGCGTGCTCACCCCAGTAACAGGAGATGCCACCGCAGCAGTGCTGGGACCTGGCATGTGGCAGGAGCCAGAAATAAACCTGTTTGTGTAGCAACTGAGAAAACAGCAACGGGAGCAGGCAGGTGAGGGGGGGGGGGGGTGCCAATGGTTTGGTTTGAGGCCAGAAATAGGTATTTGGGTGGAAGAGATGTGTTTGTATTTGAAGGGGATTTGCTTGGGATGGTTGCTCCCCAGGCTGTCCCCTGCCTGTGCTGTGTTCCCATGCAGGTCTGCATCTCCCCTGGCTCCAGCAACATCAGCGCTGCCTTTCCATGCACCACCCAATTTTGGATGCTGTGTACACTGGGACACGCTGGATACGGAGCCTGTAGGGTGCAAAGACAGGCTTTAAAAGGCTTGATCCAGTGTCCCATCGCCCAGAGAAGCTGTGGCTGCCCCATCCCTGGCAGTGCTCAAGGCCAGGTTGGACACAGGGGCTTGGAGCAAGCTGCTCCAGTGGAAGGGGTCCCTGCCCGTGAAGGGGTTGGAG